GTCATATGCAATAAAGAGCCCCTGAAAGTGACAATAGGAATTTTCAAAAGATTAAGTGGGTAGTAGTACAGTAGTAGTAGCCTTCCCTGACCAATCTACCTAAAATGGCAGCCCACTTCCCATCCTCCTTACCATGATTTACTTTACTTTACAGAATGTATCACCATTTGGCATTATATTATAGATTTGTTTTTTGTTGTTTTCCCTCCTTGGAATATAAGCATCATGAGGACAGGGACTTTGTCTAGCTCACTGCTTTAACCCCAAAACTTAGAACATTGCATAAAACATAGCTGGCACACAAGAAATATTTGTTGAATGAACGAACGAGATATAAAATAGATTTCACCGAAGTCCTTCTACTAGTACTTCACTTCAAGGAGTCTTAGCTAAAGAAAACATGAGGTGTCAAAGGTAAGGAGGGAGGGGCAAGAATGGAAGACAGCCCTGCAACTAAAAACACAGGGGAAGGAACTCGAAGAGGAGCTAGGAGGTTTAGCCCAGCCCCATTTACAAACTGAAAATCACTAGGTCAACTTTTGTGGAGACGTTTAAGTTTTGTGTAACTAAACCTGTTATTTTTTGCATCCCTGTCTTTTTCCCAAAGTTATGAAAAAATTTTAAGAACTTTTAAACTTTTGGAAGAAAATATAGAAAAATATCTTCATAACTTCAGAGTGGGGAAGAATTTATGAAACTACACACAAAAAGTACAAGGCTTAAAGGAAAGGATTGATAATTCAACCACATGAAAATCAATAACTTCAAAGAATCTCTTAAGAAAGTGAAAAGACAATCGACAAACTAGGAAAAATGTCATTCATTGAGCCAGCATCATTGAGCACCTATTTTGTGCCAGGCACTGTTAATGGTTCTTAGGATAAACCAGTGAACAAATCAAAACCAAATCCCTGCCCTCGAACACCATTCTATTGAAAATCTGTATGTTGATTCCATGGGCCAGGTACCATTCTAAGTACTTTAGATCTATTAATGCATTTAACTAGCACAGTAACTCTATGAGTTAGGTATTCCACAGATGAGAAAAATGAAGCTCAAGGAGGTTAAGGAAACTAAGACGCAGACAGATTAATTGCTTGAGATCTCACGGTTAGTAGAGAGTAGAGCTGGGCTTTGAACCCAGCCCTTTCTTCAGACCCAGTCATCTCCTCAGAGAGAAAAGCCGACCCCGCCGACCTGGCCACCTGGTCCCTGGACCCTACCCAGGTGAATGGAGGCTTGAGGAAGTGTTCCACTTTCTGTATCAATAAATCCTAAAAACTGCTGGGAGAGAGAAACTGAACCACTGAAAGGGCTGCAGGTAAGTGAGGATTTCTGATCAGTGACCTTTCACCTAACATTAAAAGACCTAGAAATTCTGCCCAGATAGTGGAAGAGGTATATCTAAAACTTAACGCTTCCTCCATAATAGAAGATTGATTAAATGAATCATGACATATCCATACAATGAAATCCTGCGTATAATGTTATAGAAGAAAATTGACATAAAAAATGTCCATGATGTACTGTTAGGTGAAAAGGCAGCTCAAAAAACAGCATAAATAATGTGATTCCATTTTGGTTAATTGTACATAATAACTAATCTTTATTGAGCCTCAACTATGAACATATATATGAGCAAGGCACTGAGTAATTACAGGAACTATCTTCATGACAAGCCTATAATATAGGTAGGTATTATACTCATCCTTTTACAGTTGAGGAAACTGAGGCATAAAGAGGTTAAGTAATTTGCCATAGTTCACTTAAGTGGCAGAGCTGAGATAAAAGGCGTAGATATGCTAAACTAAAGAGCCCCAAAACTTCACAGTGACACTATATCTATGTCTATATTTGTACAAAAAAAAAATGTCAAGAAAGAGAGGTACCAGGATGTTGACAGTTAACAGTGGTTATTTCTGAGTGGTGAGATTATGAGTGATTTTTGTTCCCTTTATGTTTTCTTGAGTCGTCTGACATTTTTGTGATTTACGTGGATTATTTTTATAATCAGGAAAAACAATAAATCAATTTCCACTTTGAAAAAAGCAAACCAGCCACTGTTTCCAACCGGTAGGCAGAAGACTGCTGGGGAATAAAGAAAGTAACTTTATTACAAGGGCTCTGGACATTCCTACATGGCCCAAGCATTGTCAAGAATGAATAGACAGAGAGAGTGCTTCTACATATTTTTCAAATGCCATGATGTATATTGCCACGATGTATACCCACAGTCCTTTAGCTTATTATGTATTTATCAATCAATGGATATTAAACAATGCAACTACTATCATGTGGAAAGATGTGCAATACATTTTAAGCATTAAAATACGAAAGCAAATGATGGGATCTGTTGCTAAAAGGAAAAAAAATATATATGTATGGATCAGGTCTCTGTAGTTTGAGCATCTTCTCAAAAACTTACCTTTTTTTCCAGTGGGTCAGGAGGAAATAGAGGGGGGCGGGAAAAAACTGAAAAAAGCATACGTTATTGAAAGTTAACCCAGGATGAGAGAGAATGGACAGGGAGTTGAAGTAGTCCCAGAAATTTCTATTATGAACATAGAATGCTAATCTCCCCTGTATTATCAGGGGCTGGTCTCAAACCTCAACCACAGGGATGTCAATACTTACATAGGGCAGAGATGTTGCAATACCTGAGTACTAACATTTGCTGGAGGGCCAGGCTGGTGCCCAATCAGCAGAAACATCTGGAGTGTGAAAGGCCCCAGGTGTAGGGGAGGCAAATTATACAGAACTTTCTTTCACCAAACTGACTCAGAGATCATCACCTGACTTCTCGCCTCTCATTCTTCTTCTCCCCCTTTGTAATGTGTCCCTTGCCCTCTATTTCTATGCAATCTCTTGTGCCCAACTCAAGTACCTAGGACACACTCCTCCATAGGACTCCTGTGATCTCATTACCCATAAGAAACCACCCCGAACACTGACCGACCTCAAACTAAGACAGTAAGACTTTCCAGGCATTATGAGCAGATGCACTGACAATAAGAAGTGGTACTTATCTTTTAGAAGCATACAGTCTTCAGGTGTGAAAAGCAAAAAACAACCCAACTCAATTTGCTTCAACAGGCATTAAGTTAAAACAAGGTGAGAGACAGAAGCCAGAGAGAAGAACGGGAGCTTTGGCCTGTATTTGGGACTAGCCTAGAAACCAGGCTCCTCACTCTCACCCCTGCTCATGGGGGCTGGTGCTGAGGCCTGGAAGACAGATTTACACTAAGTGAGAACAGTCTTCAATGGGTCAATGGCATGGGGTGAAAAGGAGAGTAGGAGGGGGCGTCATTCTGTATGAAAAGCAAATTAAGATCTTAGCAAAGGGCTGAAATGTGAGTGCGATCTAGTCTTTGAATCCAGCTGGCACCTCCCAAAAATACAAAGGAACCTGCTGAAGTGCACAGTGAGCACACAGTAAGCAAAGTCCAGACTGTGAGAAATTCCCCAGGTCAGATTCCATGAGTTCTTCAACAGATAAATTGTCAGGAAAGGGACTGAGGGGAAACCTTTACATTAAACCAGACTTAAAGTTTTCCAAAGTGTCAAGGTCATAAAAGACCAGGAAAGACCAAGAAATTGTCAGAGATTGCAGGAGACTAAGGAGACATGATGACTAAGTGCAATGTAGGACTTTATAGAATCCTAGACCACATAATGAACATTAGTAGAAAAATCTAGTGCAATTTGAATAAAGTCTGAAATTAATAGCAATGTGTCAATATTGATTTCTTAGCTGTGGTTATTTAAGATGTTAACATAAGGGGAAACTGGGTGAAGGGTATAGGGAACTCTCCGTATTATCTCTGCAACTCTCTCATAAATCTAAAATTATTCCAAGGTAAAAAGTTTAAAAAGGAGAAAATTTAAGGAACATATCAATTTTTTAATGGGCAAGACTAAACCATAGTCATTAGGTAAGTACACTTGGGTAATAAAACCATAGAAAAGCAAAGAAAAAATTACCATAAATGTCAGGATAATGGTTACTTTGGGAGGAGGAAGAAGGTTGTGGTTAAAATGGGGCATGTGAAGAGGCTTCTGGGGTGGGTGGAAAAGTTTCATTTCTTCACCTAGTGGTGGCTGCAAGGTGTTTGTGTTGTAATTCATTAAGCCATATATTTGTTTTAGGTAGTTTTCTATACCTAGATTTTATTTTGCAATGAAAAATGAGAGAGGGAGAGACAGACAGACACAGACTTAAGAGACATAACATCCAAATATCCAAATATAATCAGTGGACCTTCCTTGCTTGGATCCTGATTCAAATTAACCAACTATAAAAAGACGTTCAACCGTGGACTGGATATTAGATGTTATTAGAGAATTATGAAATTTTAAGAGTGATAGTGGCATTGTTATTATAGAAAAATCCATATTTCTGTAGATGCATAGTGAAGTATTTAAGGGTGAAGTGAAATGTCTTAGAATTGCTTTACAATACTCCAAGAAAAAAAAAAAAGAATAGGGAGATAAATGAAACAAGTATGGCAAAATATTAATAGTCTGAAGATGAACAGAAAGACGAACATCATTGTATTCTCTAGTTTTGTGTGTGTTTGGAAATTTTTATAATAAAAAGTTCAAAGAGGGGGTCAGCTCCAAACCAGGCTGCCTCAAGCCAACGGTCATTCTCGGTCAAAGAGACCTAACCTCAGGTGCTCTGCTCCCCACCAGCCATCTCCCTGAGGTCACAACTCCTGTAATCTCAGAGTCATTTGCAAGGGGTATTTCCCTTCTCTGGATCTCTGGGTCACTAGGACTCCTTGGCAATCCTCGCCTTTCTCCATCCTGATGTCCCAATAATCTCAGGAGAGAAAGTGATAGGGCAGATAAGCAAAGCCCCAGGGCTCAGACCTGATAGGGCAGTCCTCCCCCTGCAGTGGGTGGGCAGGATAAGAAGAAAAGAGGGCAGGTAAAAAGCCTCATAGTCACTATTGAGCGAGCTTCCAGAGACTGGTGGCATCTTTGGTTGGAACACGGTTCTAGGATCTTCATCTCTCTCAGGCTCCTGGGCATCATGCCTTGTTTCAAGCAGCCTAATCACTTACAGAGTCTGTTAGTTCTGCAATGGCCCTTGACCTACCTTGCTTTATGTGAGTACTGATCTAAGAGTGCATGGCAAGAGGCCATGGCCGGGGCCAGGTCTGGGGTGAATTTTAAGCTCATGAAAAGTTTCATCTCTGGCCTTTGATCATCTCAGACGGAACTACAGAGTAAAGCCACGGAGTCCCGAGTTCCATCAGTGCCCTGGAAGAGGAAGAGACAGAGCCCCAGGGAACAGAGAGGACAGGCGAGGAGTATAACAGGGTCGTGATGGATATGAGTAGACCTAGCTAATTTCAGCCACTTCCTAACCCTCACTGTTTGGAGAGGGGAAATGAGGCCCAGGGAATAGGTATGATAGGTCCGTAATCATAAGTGAGCATGGAGAGTGGAACAGAGGAAGCACTGGCATCAGTCTTCCCTTTGGGAGGTGAGGTGGGAGCATGAGGGAGACAAAGATAATGGAAGCAATGGTAAAGTGCAAGAGGACTCGAATGGTAGATAGGAAATAGTAGAGGAATGCAGATGCTGTGTGGATGGGGTCTGTGGAGATATGGATAGTATATGGGCAAGGGAGGGTGGGCTACTGGCTTAACAAGAGTTCAGGGAGGGAGACCAGAGGGACAAGATGGTAAATGAATCGAAGTGGGGGGAGAAGCTGGTAGCAGGTAGGGAGCAGGAGTAGAGGGATGTTGGATGGGTAGGTAGGCGGGTGGACAGGGATGACATGTAAGCAGACAACTAGGGCTGGTGTGTGGTAGACGATAGAAGAAATGTTGGAAGAACAAATAGACATAGATGGTGGATGGAAAGAAGCTGAATTATGCAGAAGGTCAGGACCAAAGGCTTGGGTAGTTTGGAGGGCTATTAATGGGGCTGTACACAGTCAAGTTCTACTGGTACCACCAACTTGGTATGATCTGCTCCCTCATCAGTTTGGATTGTACAGCCATTGTTCGTTTGCCTGCTGTTTACATCTTTGTGGCCTCTACCAGCCCTTTACTTTGTCTGGTATTTCCTGGACTGGAAGACCCCGGAACGAGGTAAGACTCAGGAACCTAAAAAGAACAGGACCTAATGATGTTCAATCTTAACCTGTAGGTAGCTAGGGAGTCCCACTCACCATGCCACAGGCTTCTCACCCAAGTTCTCAGAGCCACAGGAGCTGGGCCAGCCAGGACTGTCCTTTCCCATCTCTCTAGCACAGCCATGATTCCTCCACGCTGCTAGGGAAGCCCTGGGTGAGTGGGAGGGGTGGGGCTGGCACACACAGACATGATCCCCTATTGACATTTTGTCTCAGGTGGCAGGCGTTCTGCCTGGGTAAGGAACTGGAGTGTCTGGACCCACATGAGGGACTATTTCCCTATCACGGTAAGTGACTCTTCCTTCGTATCCCTCACAGTTCCCCAAATACTAGGCATTTATGCCAAATGGCTAGGGTTGTCTATAAGGAAAATGAGCATCCTGGAGAAGTCTCAGAGCAGACTAGATACACTTCAGAATCCAACATTGCTACCGGGCACTTGTTACTCTGCTAGGACAATTTGGATGCCCTTCGCATAACCTGCCAGATGACACAGGCAGAAATGCAAATACAGTTCAGTTCAGTTTAACAAACACTGAAAGCCTACTCTGTGCCACGTGTTTGGGATACAGAGAAGTGAGTAGCATACCACCATCAAGGAGCTCACATCTAAAGGGGAGGACAGACAACTATTTATGGTTTGGTTCAAGGTATACAGATAGTTCAGATGGGGGTAAAGAAAAGTTTCACAGACATGGTGATATCCAAGCAGGGCTTTCAAAGTTCAATAAAAGTTCCTTAGGTGGGTGCTGGAAGCAGGTGGGGAGAAGTACCACGAGGAGGTTGTAGAAATGTACTGCTATGCTGATCCTCTGAGTACACTTTGGAGTTGACAACAAACACTGCCCTGATTTTTAGAGCAGAGCTTGCTAACCTTTTTTTACCTAATGGCACTCCTAGAAAATGATACCATGACACAAATAGTCAAGAGGCCCAGCAGTTCAGCTGCCCCAGATCCTACCCGATTTCCCAGGGCTGAGACTGATACCTCAGCCCCTAGAAACACACTCATGGCCTACAGGTTGAAAAGCTCTGCTTTAGAGAGCACCCTGACTCGTGACGTGTCTTCAACCTTGCTTCACCATGTGATCTCATTTCACCACCTCTGTCATTTCTCTCCATGGCTGCAGATCCTGAAGACTAAGGACCTGTCACCTGAGCACAATTACCTCATGGGTGTTCACCCCCATGGAATCTTGACCTTTGGTGCCTTCTGCAACTTCTGTACTGAGGCCACAGGCTTCTCAAAGATCTTCCCGGGAATCACTCCTCACTTGGCCACACTGTCCTGGTTCTTCAAGATCCCCTTGATTAGGGAGTACATCATGGCCAAAGGTGCTTCTAACCACACTTACTGCAGCTTCTGGCCCATTCCTCTGCTTGGAGATACACCTTTTCAAGCCCCGTCCTCTACCTCTCAACCCCCTCTCACCCTCCCCTCCCCTGTCATCAGAGTATAGTACTTAAGAGCATATGTTCTGGAGTCAAACTGCCTAGGTTTGAATTCCAGCTCTGTCATTTACTCTGTGGTCTTACAGCAAGCTACTGAACCTCTATTGGTTTTCTCATCTGTAAATTTGTGCTACTGCTGCTAATAGTGTGACCTCAGATGTGGTTGATGATAAAAATGAGGTAATACAAGTCACTAACTCAATATAATGCCTGCCACAGAGTATGTGCTCAATAAATAATAGCTGTTGCTATTAATAGCAATAAAGGAAAAGAAAGGGCTAGAATTATAGTTGGTATTCAGAAAGTCCTTCCGGTTATCCCACTGAAAACCTTCCTAATATAGTTTCGATCCAGTGCCTCCTGCAAAGTGGAAATATTGCCTCAGAGTGTAATGTGTTGTGTTTGCCCACAGCCTTCTCTTCTCCACACAATCTGTCCTATCTCATTGACTCTCCTCCTGGGACCCATGGAGACAGAGGGCACACAAACCAGCCAGTGAGTAGAGTAGAGGGTGTTCCTTGCTAGCCTTTTCTCCTGTCCTGACCACTTTGTTCCTGTCTCTGTTCCTTGCTTCTCTTCAGGTGTGTGCTCTGTGAGTGAGCCAACCATTGACTACCTGCTGAGCCACGGCCCTGGCAACCTCGTGGGCATTGTAGTGGGAGGGGTAGCAGAGGCCCTGCAAAGTGTGCCCAACACCACCACCCTCCTCCTCCGGAAGCACAAGGGATTTGTGCGCATAGCCCTCCAACGTGGGTAGGTATTCATCCTGGGGCAGAGGTGGGTGGCCTTCTCTAAGAGGCATGACCTAGTAGGCGATGCCAAGATGAATCAGACATGAAGCTTGCCCTCATGGAACCTCCTAGTGAATAGGGGAGATGGCCACAGAATTTCAAAAAGGTTTAGGTCATCTACCCATTCTGGGCCAGCTGGACCAGTTCCCAGCAAGCCAAACCAGAAACCCAGATTCATGGGGAATTGGCTAGAGCTGTGAAGTGTAGAGATAACTCCTACATTATCTCTATCAACATCAATATCTACATCTGACTGTTAACACTACGTGCAAGGGGCAGTACAATATGGTCAGTATGCAGTAGGATCTGGAGTCCGGAGCCTGCTGGAAAACCCTGGCTCCATGACTTACTGTGCCCTCTAGGACAGGTTACTCAACAATTCTAAACCTTCGTGTTTTCATCTTTATGATGTACCTACTAATAATAATAATTGTACCTACTCAGTAAGGTTATTGTGGGGTTTAAATGAATTCATGTACATAAAGCACCCACCATATGACTGGCACACAGTGAGCAATAGATAAACATTAGCCACTCTAACTCAGGGATACAAGGCTGAAGCTATTGGGTGCCCCATCAGGTAAGCCAGTCTGCTCACTGGACACAGGGACGATTGTCCTACTGCAGACTCAGAAAAGACAGTATTTCTTCTAAGGACCTTACTCGAGGGGCCCTTCCATCAGTTTGGAGCAAACATAGGTAACATGTCAGAGTGCTGAGAGATTATCAGACACAGGGTCAGCTATTCCCCTCCCTGACACCCGCTGGAAGATTTTTTTATATCTGGGGACCTCTGCCCAAACTTGTCTTTCTTCCCTGCACCCCCATATCTTGCCCTGTGATCCTGACCCAGAGACAGCACTGTCACTGACCTTGAAAATTTCAGGACAGAGATAATAAATAAGGAAGCCCTCTTTAGTGTAAGAAGAAATACTTGATGCCACAGGATTTCATAATAGATGGGAACCTGGCCATGAACAAATGTTCTTCCCAGGTTGTTCCCACTCCGGATTTTGTTTGAGAAATTGGGGTTTTCCTACAGGGCTCATCTGGTCCCCACCTTCACTTTCGGAGAAAACGAGGTATATGATCAGGTGCTGTTCCATAAGGACAGCCGGACATATAAGTTCCAGAGTTACTTCCGCCGCACGTTTGGCTTCTATTTTTGTATATTCTATGGACGAGGCTTCAGCAGAGACTCTAATGGGCTCCTGCCGTACCCGCTACCTATCGTCACTGTGGGTGAGTGCTGCTCTCAGCCCTAAGGCCACCTCAGCTCTTTCTCAACCTCCATCTCGGCCCTCCCTGCCCCACTCCCACGAAAGAAGGGGACAGCAGTAGGGGAGAAGCTAGGAGTTAATTTGGGATGCCAGAGGAGCAGGCCCAGGAAAGAGGAGGAGGTTGAAGGAAGAGCAGATTCTAACACTTGCCCTTTCTCTTTTCTTGTCTCTTCTGGCAGTCGGGGAGCCTTTGCCACTGCCCAAAATTGAAAATCCAAGCCAGGAGATGGTAGACAAATACCACACACTCTATATGGATGCCCTGTGCAAACTGTTTGACCAGCATAAGACTCAGCATGGCTGCTCAGAGACCCAAAAGCTGATTTTCTTGTGACTGAAGGGGCTGCGTGCTCAAGAGCAAGTACCTCGGAGAGGAGACTCATTGCTGCTACCCCAAAGGGGGACAGGGAGATGAGGGGCTATGTGTGGTATCGGAGGGCACTGGGGACTCCTTCCCTGGCACAGAGCCCTTGTACTTCCTGGTCCTGAGGAGCTGCACTCACTCGTTCCTCTGCCAGAGACATCCTGAGGCCTCTGGAGCCAGACAAAGGTGTGCTCCGTCCCCATTCCCTACTGGTTTTCCCCTCAGAACCCAAACCCCCAGGTCCTACAGGACTCAAATGACAGTCAAGCAGCCTGACTTTGTTGTTGCTGTCCTAATGCATTTTTAAAATCAAGACATATCTTGCATACCATAAATTTAACCTGTTTAAAGTATAAAATTCAGTAATTAGTAATCAGAGGTGTGCGACCACTGCCACTATTTAATTTTTACATTTTTGGGACCCCTGAAAAAAAAACCCAGTTCACATTGCCAGTCATTCCCCATTCCTCCTTCCCCCATCTCCCCACTAATCCACTTTCTGTCTCTTCAGATTTGCCAATTCTGGGGATTTCATGTAAACGGAATTATACAACATGTAGTCCTTTATAACTGCCTTTTTTCTCTTAGAATAACGTTTTCCAGGTCCATCCATGTTGTAGCATGTGTCAGTGTTTCATTTCTTTTAATGGCTGAATAATATTTCATTGTACGTACACACATTTTTTTTTTTATTCACCAGTTGAGGGATTTTGGGGTTGTTTCCAATTTTGAGCTATTACGGATAATGTTCCTATAAACATTCATGTACAGCTTTTTGTGTGGTAATCTGCTGTGTCTGAATACAAAGGCTTACCTTATGTCCACATCACTAAGCTAATAAGCACACCTTTCGGATAAATCAAAGGCATCTTACTCAGGATGACTTTTCAGTTGGCAAAGGTCACTTTGTCCTCATGATGGTCCTCTAACACTATAACCCCAAGGTATTTTCTACCTTCCTGAGTATGTACTATGGGGAATCCACTTTATATCTCTATTTTAAATGCTTGCTAAGTTTTGTTTAAAAGATTTTCTTAAAGCTGTAATGAGAATTTTAAGAGTAAATAAAAACACAGATGTCTCTTCTTTCACAAGGCAATCAACAAAAGACTCACTTAAAAACACGACAAAGGACCAAAAGTTAAAAGATCATTTAGAAACTCATACAATTCAATAGCTAATAATAATAATAACAGCAGCAACAGCAACAACAACGACAACTTGATTTAAAACCAGGGCAGAGGACCTGAATAGACATTTCTCCAAAGAAGACATATAATTGGCCAATAGGTACATGAAAAGACGCTCAACGTCACTAATCATCAGAGAAATGCAAATTAAAACCACAATAAGATATTACCTCATACCTGTTAGAATGGCTATTATCAAAAAGACAAGAGATAAGTGTTGTTGAGGATGTAGAGAAAAGGCCATGCTTGTTCACTATTGGTGGGAATGTAAATTGGTACAGCCACTATGGAAAAGAGTATGGAGGTTCCTCAAAAAATCAAAAATAGAACTACTTATGACCCAGCAGTCCCACATCTGAGTATATATCTGAAAGAAATGAAATCACTATCTTGAAGAGATTTCTGCACCCCTCTGTTCACTGCAGCATTATTCACAATAGCCAAGACATGAAAACAACCTAAATGCCCATTGATAGATGAGTGGATATGAAATAAGTCAAAGACAAAAGCTGTATGATCTCACTTATATGTGGAATCAAAAAAAAAAAAAAAGCCAAACTCATAAAAACAGTATAGAATGGTGGTTGCCAGGGGCTGAGGAGTGGGGAAAGTGAGGAGATATTGGTCAAAAGGGTCAAACTTCCAGGGACAAGATGAATACCTTCTGGGGATCTAATGTACATTGTGGTGATTACAATGAATAATTATTATATACTTGCAAATTGCTAAGAGTAGATCTTAAATGTTCTTACCACAAAAAAAAGTTGAAATTATGTGAGGTGATGGATGTGTTAACTAACCTTATTGTGGTCATTTTGCAATATATAAGTGTATCAAATCGCTATGTTATACACCTTAAACTTACACAATGTTTTATGTCAATTATATCTCAATAAAGCTGGGGAAATGGGAGGAAACACCATTTACGCTTCCTTTTCTTAACCCTTAAATATTAGGTTTGTGTGGGATCCCACCCTTTTCTCTCACTTTTACACTGTTTCAGGTCTAAAATATTTGTTTTTAACCCAGATTTCCCTCACAAGTAATTTCCTTCAAAACCAATGTATTCAACTGACTAATCTCTAACAAGCACTTTAACCTCAACACAGCCAACACCATGTAAACAAACTTGCCCTCCCAATCTCACATTTTATCACCGAGTCCTATCAATTTTACCATCTTATTATTATTCCAACCTCTCTTTCATTGTCACAATCCAGTCAAAGTCCTCACCAATTTCCTAAATTATCGCTACTCCTTCTAGTAAAGTCCTCTCTAATTAATCTATTTATCACACTGCCG